TATATATATGCGTTGAAAATTGGAAAATATAAATATGAGTATTAATCAAAATGAAAAAGAGAGATTTTATTTAAAAATCGCGTAACTCAAATACTAGAAAACATAATTTTTTATTATATATTATTGTTTATATGTATCAAATGAGAAGTAAAAGATCTATATAAAGTAATTTTGATGTGACTTTTAGAGATTAATGATAGGTCAAATTGATCTGATCATTCTTTTCCAAATTCTGCAACTTCGTTTGAAATATTTTTTTTTTTTTTTTTCTTTCAAAAATGTAATGTTTCCGAAATATTTTACTGTATTATTTTTAGTGAGATACCTTGTATCATGCAAGAACCGGAACGTGTCTATAGGATTGTTAAAAAGTAGTCTCACTACTTTCTAAATAAAGGCAGGAGAGCACTCTCCTTTCACTGATCCATTTATCATTCAGACAATTTTTCTTTCGTGCAACTTTGATGTAGATATTTCAATTAAAATATAATAATAGTTTATTTCATGCCATTTGATAAAGGTTATATTATTTATGCTTGTTTTTTTATATTTTTCTAACTATAACTAATCTTTAATATACATATAATTGTATCTAAAAAAAAAATCGGCCTGCCAAATGATTCAATTTATAATAAAACAATTTCTTTTTTTTTCTTTTTTTTTCTTTCTCTTAAAACATTCTTCATCCATCCTATTCAGTCTTCCACGTTATTGAGTAAGCAGCTCGACGGCAGCAGTTATTCTATTTCTCTTAGATACAATTTGCATAGATTGTCTTCTTGTTTTTACCAGAATCTATTTTTGAGTTCTTTATATCCGGATCAAAATCTCGATATAATCTTTTGGTGATTCTTCTCTGTCTTTATTTTCTTAGGTACATCTAAAGTATATAATTTTTTATACCTTACATTATATTTAGCTTCCTGTGTTTAGCCTAATCTGTCTCTGTTATATTGCTATTTCTTCCTTTTTGTCTTTCAACTTTTAAGCTGTCATTCCGTTTCTCTGAAAATATCCTTCTCTTTCCATTTCTAGTTTTGTCCGTTCTCCTTATCTCTATTTTTCTAAAACGTTTTTAAGTATTTTATTAGAAGATTTTCCTACTATCTTTTCTTCAAATCTTAGTGCTCTTTTGCCTATCTCTATTTTTAATGTCTGCCTCTTTGTTTCTTTTTTTACTTTGTATCCAGGGGTGCATATCTAATCTAATATCCATTTTTTTATACTTATCTTGACATTTTTCTATGGCCATGTTCTTTCCATCTTCATATTTTTGCTCTTTACATTAGGAGCTTTTGACTCAGTAGTCACAAATATCCATATTCTTCTGAAATCTCTTGCAAACTTTCTTCTTATCTATCTTTCTTTTCTATCAGTCCTATTCTTTTATATTCATTTATCATTCCATTTCATTGTTTCTCTGTAAAGTGAGCCTGCTTTTTCTTTCTTCCTCTGCCTTTTTTCTGAAAATTTATTTCAATAAAAATGGATTTACTTTAAGTGCCTGGTCAAGGCCTTTTATAAAACTCCGGTTTTCCTCACAAAAATTCGGTGCTTTGTAGACCTAAGACTTTTTGTAAAAAAAACCATATAAAAAAAAAATTTTTTTTATATGGTTTTTTTTAAACATATAATAAAATATTATATAACTTGGTGGTTGATTATAATTAAGTTGTATTTTGTACATCGACTTAAGAATATCTGTTTAAAATATCTGGCATTAAATCTTATAAACTCTATAAAATTTGGCTAACTTATATTTGTAAATAGTGTGTTCTTATATATATGTAAAATACAATTTTATTGATAGTCTGACCACCAAATTATTTTCTTCGATTATTAGTATGTATATATATATTTCTATTTTTCGTCGATCACACTTCTATGTGATATTTATCTTATTAATCTTAAAATATACAATTTTTTTAACTATAGTCATGTGATCATAAAATTTAAAAGATAGGTACTGTTAACTGCATTTCTTTTTACGATCTAGCAATAAATTAATTATATTGAATTAATTATATTGATATGAAACAATTCTGCTTTAATTTTAGGCCGCTCGAGGACTTTATTGTATACAAAGCAATTAATGGACGAAGAACTACAGCAATATGGCGAAGAGCTGTTGCAAGAAGTTGAAGGCCTCTTAGACCATGATTACAGTCCGGTAATGCAGATGCCTGTTTATAAACGTGCCCGCATTGACAATGAAGTCGCAACTAAGTACATCTCTTCTATGAACCATGTGGGAGGAACGCTTGGTTTAAAACCATATCTTACTATTTCAAAAACAAATAAACAGTATATCGAGCCACCATTGGACGATATATGGCCACCGCCAAATCCTGGCGGACGGAAGACAGTCAAAGTAATAAACAAGATTGAGACTCTTACTAACGAATTCAAAATCAACATCTCTGATACTGAAGGCACTAGAACAGTTCTTGTCCAGATGCCTCATGATAAATAAAATAAAATACGTTTCTCGCAATGGTGCACCATGCTTGATAATCCATGAAAAGTAAGCAGAAACCATATGTAAGGTAACATTAGAACAGCAACGACAAACGGGACAAATATGTTTCCTTCGTTTTAAAATATTACTAATGCCCAATTGTTCTAGCAAATCTTTTATATCCGAAACAATAGCTACATTCAGAAAATACAATGGTTATGCAACTATTGAGTAACAATTGTCTAACTATTGTTATATGTCTATAGATCTAACGATATCAAAATAATTTTTTAAAAGCTAATCTCAATTATAGTGTTTTTTAAATGTAGAGTCAATATATTTTTCAAATATATTTGCTATTGACTTTATTATTTACTTTATAATATAACAATTTATTTAATATTAATCTGTAAACCGCAAGCGACCATAGCTAAACATTTTTGCAAGAAAAAATTTATATATATTTTCTTTGGGTAATATGATCTATATACATATATAATGTGGAAATTTTATAGAAATTGTCCAAGAATTTTTAAAGATTAGACAATATATATTAAATATTTATTTATGAAAGCTATATATAAATACTTATGAGAGTCTTATGATTATAAGCATTACTCATAATTTTTGAAATTATATATGAAAAAGATTTTTGTAAATAATTATAATGTTTGTCATAAAATTTGTTATACATTATTATAGCTTTAATGATAAATGCAATATAGCTCTATAATTAATAAAGATATAAGATAAGCATGTGAATTATACATTTACAATTAGTTATATGTAAATATATTCACACATATGTGAATGATATCTACGTCAAAAAAAAAAGTATAAACATATAATAATAGGATGGTGTATGTATGTGCTAATGTGTTAATTATATAGTCAATAGTTTCAATTTTTTGATTTTACACTATCTTTGGAGTCTATCTCTCAGTTTCATATACATTTAATATTGTCACTTTATAATCAAAGTATAGTTTTAATATTGCCTAAAACATTTTGATGTTTAATACAAATCTTTTTTTTTCTATTTTATAAGGTTTCTATTTTGAAGGTAATAAAATCGAAGAAAATTATAACTTGGTGGTTGATTATAATTAAGTTGTATTTTGTACATCGACTTAAGAATATCTGTTTAAAATATCTGGCATTAAATCTTATAAACTCTATAAAATTTGGCTAACTTATATTTGTAAATAGTGTGTTCTTATATATATGTAAAATACAATTTTATTGATAGTCTGACCACCAAATTATTTTCTTCGATTATTAGTATGTATATATATATTTCTATTTTTCGTCGATCACACTTCTATGTGATATTTATCTTATTAAAAAAATAATGTTTAGAATATATATATATAAGTATCATGAGCATAAAAGTTATGATATATGATTGTCACGCAGATGTGACAATATAAATCATTCATGTGTGTAAATCACCCATGCAAATAAAGAGTTAATACAAAATAATGAGTAACGAATTGTTTAACTCCATAATTTTGTATGTAACAAATAAGACGAATTGAAACATGGCATGGTTTTTGTCGACTTTAAAGACTGTATTATATAAAGAAAGTATATTGATTTTATTTTAAAATATTACTCGCTTAGTATAAGAATAATTTTATTTTTTATATTAAATTAAGTTAGGATACATATCGAATTATTTTTCACATATATATACTATATAATATGTAATACACACATATATACACATATATACATGCAATTAAGTAAGAATACTGGCACATATATACATGTATGCTACGTGCACGAAATTGTAAATAAAATATATTATTAAAATGTAAGTTTTTATATTATAATTTATTATTTATACATTTTTAGAGATATTGATAAGAAAATCATGGAGATAATACAAGATTTAAATTAATAACAAAAAATTATTTTGTTTATATACATTCTAATACACTTAATGATGATTAAACTTAATATTATTTTTATTCATGTTCATGTATGAAAAATTAAATGTGTTTGGAATTATTCTTTACATTTAGAAGTTAATTTGATATTAAATTAATACTTTAAAATACAAAGAAAATTTAAATTTAAAGGAGACTCTTGTGCTTAAAAGATTTTATATTTATTATTTTAATTATCTTACGCATTGACGCTTACAATTTATCAACTAATTGAGATATACGATATTTTTACAAGACTATTATTCAACTTTTGAACCATGTTTGATTGGCCATATCGCGACTTTTTTTCTATACGAATCTAATTGTTTAGTTATGCAATTTCTAATAGAATTCAAGATTTATTTTATAAATATACTATATATCGCATCGGCGATATATATTATATTTATACTTAAATAAAATTTTTTAAACTTTGATATTTTTAAGTTTATCTTATATTCATGATTAAATAATCTAACCTAATCTAACCTTACCTGACTCGAGTCGTATAAACTTCGCGCCAGTTTTCCGTTGTGATTCTACATATTTTGATTGACTTGATCTTTGTTGATTTTTGTAAGTTGATGACATGCATAGTTTGTGTATTTTTCTAACATACACACGTAATATTATTCCAAATAATCTCTTAATAAACAGGAAATCTGTAATAATAACTGAAAAAGTCCAAGTTGTACATGTATAACCTTATATATACATATACACATTCGTGTTAAAAATATTACAATGGGTGATGTGTCGGATTTACTCGATTTATTACCAGTTTATTATTCAAGATTGTTTCCATTTGCTGATTATCATAGGTGGTTAAGTTATGGAAATGGTAAGAGATTGAGATTTTTTTTGTACTTAACTATATAATAATGTCTCATGTTTTTTAATTTCTTTTTAGCGGCTATGTTTAGCAAGAGAGAATTCTCTTTCACACTTTCAGATGATATTTATATACGTTATCAGTCTTTCAATGATCAGAAGGGACTATCAGACGAAATTAAGAGATTACTACCGCATAAAATTGATATAGGGGCAGTTTATAATGTCCAGTGAAGTATCATTATATAAAACATATTTTTGATTTGCCACATTTTTCAATAATAAATTCTTTAGTGGAGTTTATTTCTAGTTTAAAACAATTAATAGTTCAACATTATCTGTAAAAATTTTCAAATTTTTGGCATTGGAAATTTTACTAATTAGGCCATTAGTTAAATCTCTTTTAGAACAATATAATTATATCTCTTTTAGAACATAGTAATCATATTATGTTTTAATACTAGTTAAAATACTAGTTAAAAAATAAAGATAATAAGAAAAAGAAGATACAATATATAATTAGAGTTTGTATCTATATTTTATTGAAAATGTTTAATTGACTCTTTAGTTTTTATATACTATAAACACAATAAGAGAGTATAAAAAATAACATTTTGTATCTAATTTTAGACCAAAAGATCAAAGAAGAGGTTCTAATTTTCAGCCAATAGAGAGAGAATTAGTATTTGACATAGATATGACTGATTATGATGAAGTAAGAACATGTTGTAAAGGAGCAGATATTTGTAGCAAATGTTGGAAATTCATGTCGCTTGCTTGCAAGATATTGGATAGTGCATTGAGGTGTAAGATATCTGCAATATCTTATATTATTTTTAATGTTAAAAACAATTCTGAAATGATTAACTGTTTGATTTTTACAGTGGACTTTGGATATAAACATATTTTGTGGGTTTTCTCTGGCAGAAGAGGTATTCATTGTTGGGTATGTGACTCCACAGCTCGTACTTTGTCAGGACAAGTACGAGCGGCGGTTGCTGAATATTTGCAGCTTATAGACGGAGGAGAATTTATGAAAAAGAAAGTACATCTTGGAGGTGATAAAATTCACCATTCCATTAAGTAGGTCTATATGACACTTATAATATTATCCTAAATAAAAATCAGAAATAAACATGGTATTATGTATTACATATTGCAGGCGTGCTCTTGATATTATTGATCCTATCTTTATTGAAATGTGCATTAAAGAGCAGAATATATTGGGTACGGAAGAAGGAATTGAGAAGTTTCTCCCAATATTGCCTAATGAAGAAGATAGGCAAGAAATGAAGGCGTTATTCAACAGAGAGAGTACCAGTGAAGCAAGATGGCAGGCATTCGTACAATATATCGAATCTAAACGAACCGAGGTACAATTATACACAATTTATTTTACATTATCGCTTATCATATTTTAAATCGAAATATTTAAATTATTTAATTTGTGTATTTTAGGGAGACCGAAAATGGTACTTATATCGTCACTTAATAGAGGAAGTAAAATTACAGTATTCGTATCCAAGATTAGACATAAATGTGAGCAAAGGCTTAAATCATTTACTAAAATCTCCTTTTTGCGTTCATCCGAAAACTGGCAAAATCTGTATACCGTTCAATGCAAATGTGGTGGATAAATTTGATCTTGACAAAGTTCCTACAATAATGACGTTGATAGAGGAGATCAACGCGTACGACATACGGGACAAAGCCGAAGAAGAAACATACGACTTAAATAAAAAACGAATAAAAGATTATAAGAAAACAAGTCTGAATAAATCACTGCATGTTTTCCAAGAATTTTTAAGACACTTGGAAGCTGAGCGGCGGGAACAGAGATTAAAAGGAAAACGTAAGTTTTTAGATAAATTAGATAAATTACTAACTTTTGTACAATTGCAGTTGCAATTTCGAATGTGTTTGTTTTTAGTTTCAGCTGACAGCATGGAATTTTAAGAGATCTTAACAATGATAATATTTTCTCTCTTTTTCTCTCTCCCATCTTTCCCCCTCTTTCTTATCATACATTCGATATAATAATATTATTTATAAGATTAAAATGTACTTTTGTAAAAATGAAAAAAGAAAAGAATATCTTTTATCTCCGAGTTTTGTTTTTGCTTTTACATATATATAGTCTTTCGTGATAAGTTACTACACGTAAGTAGGGCTGTTAGAGGGGCAAAAAGGGGCACATCGGAATCTCGGTGGCGATCGAACAAAAATCGTGACTTTCGAATTTTTCCAGCGAAACCGAAACGCGCTCTTTAAAATCGCTTTGAGAGGCGCGTTAACGAGATCTCTCTGATTGTGAAGCGTCTCTACTCCACTTTTTGGATCAACGAGATGAGAGATTCCGGACATGCGGACAAAAGTAACTCACTCTTTCGCGTAAATTATCGTGAAATTCCTGGCGGTATTACGTTCCCGTTAAATCGGATGTACGAGTTATATTAACCAATAAATACAAGAGAGTTGAATTAATCACTTTAACTTTTTCGGTTCTCGTAAAGGCGTGTTTAACCATGTTGTTTTTTGATTGTGTCGAGATTATGCGCCATTTATTTCTGTCGTTTTAATATGAAAATCGCTAAGAAAGAACGGAATAAAAAATAGTGAGATCTCCGTTCATTCGTCGCGAGAAGAAATAATTAAACGCGAAAAATAATATTTAATAATGACATGATATATTTAAATAATTGTTTAAATTTATCTTTATTTTTATTTTTAGCAAAATTTGATACATTTTTACTATTTTTTGGTAATTTTATAGCCATTTGTATAATATTTTGATCGAACACATTCGCTTGTGCGACAATCAATATATACACACATGCATGCACGTGCGCATTCAGATATGCGCTTTTTTTATTGGCCTAATTAGATCAACGTAAAATTTTATAAACACACTTTGTATTCATAGACTGATTATGAGACCTTGGCCCATTTCATGGTCGAAATATAGCCGTAAATAAAAAACCGACGCATCGCGGGGGCTTTCGTGCTACTTTTGTCTATCAGCAGAATAAAACGTATAATTAATTCTTACGATATTTGAGCACGATCAATATTTATAACGGCGATTTGCTTCTGCTTATTCATCGTCGCGTGGAATCTACAACAAACTCGTACATACGTGCGTGCAAAAAAAAAAAAAAAAAGATGCGTGCCGCGATCGCAACTCGTCGAATTTGAAATATTTCGTAACGCCGGACTGCGTTTCCGTAACGCGGAACGCGTCCGAGAGAGAAGAGAGTGAATTATATTTTTCAATTTTAATTTAACATTAATAACTCATAATAGTTTACTATTTCCATAACTGTGAAAGAATCTATGAGTAAAAGTAACATCATGAATGATACGATCGTAATGCGGATTATAAAATATTGTTTGAATGAACACGTTTATATATATATAAGAGAAATATCCATGCATTACGGACATGAAGTGCGTGTACAACTACTGTAGATTGACATTGTATATGCGCGTTACCGTCTGTAAATAATTACATGCCCTCGTAATTCTTAGATCACGTAATTACAGGCATCACGCAGCGATAATAAGTGAGAGAGCACGTGTTGTTGTACTTGTATGTTTTTATTATAATAAACATATAACTATTTTTTCCCCCGGAAGCTTCCCCAGGAAGCGCGTTACCTATTGCTACTTTTCACCGATTATTTGAACACGATTGTCATTAATCTTGTTAGCAGTCGTGGTTCATTGGATAAATTATTATTATTATTTTTAGAGATATAATATTTTTAGAGATATATTTTAAAAATATTTATACGTTTTTATGATTCAAGCATCAACTTTTGTGTTAAAATTAATTATACAAAACTTATATCTCATTTTCATTTGTGAAAATGAATGTGAAACTTAATTCGCGAATAATAATTAGCTATCCGAAATGGAACAAAGCCATACCGACGAAAATAATCTCTTTTCTAGAAATGAAATATGTTTTCTCTTACGCGCGCTTTCTCCTACCAATAATACCGGAACAATCATATGAATGGAATCGAACGAATTTATAATTACATTTTTGTGTATCATTTACACGATTTGATAAATTTTGCTTCGACACACGCGAGTTACAGTAGTCTTTACAAATTAAAATAAGCACCAATTAAAAGTTATCAAGCTCCATTATTTTGCACCATGTGCAGCAATTAATAATTTTCAACAATAACAAAGTATAAATTTTTAAAAAATTGACGAATCTGGTTTTCCCGCACGGTAATTAAAACCTCTAATTGCTCAAGAGAGATGAAGTACTTTATATTTCATTATAAAAACATATCTCTTGTGTTCAGTATTCTTACCATCTTGAATCTTTTTTGCGTGGCAAAATGAGAAGAGCGGAAATCATTATTAACGAATCATTTTAGACACAGAAAGCAATATCGAACTATCTCTGCGTTTCAATGTTTGAATCAGTTGATTACTCGGTATTCGGAAAACGATGCTTCGATCGTTTCTTTTCAACGGAACATCGTCATTTCATGTCTCGTCGTCTCTCATGTTTGCCGTTAAATTATGCGGATCAGTACAACGGTAACACGTCGAACAAAATAATAAATAACGTCATGCCGTCAGAGTTTCACGCGAGAAACCGAGTCGCTATCTTTTCCCGTAAATACATCGGACTAGATTTTTCCAGATCAAGGATATAGGTATTTTATCCACTACCGGAGATTGCATCTCGTCGAAAGCTGTTACGAACAGCGTATCATTGCGTGTAATCTGAATAAATATCTGAATAAATGACATTATTTTAGTTCGATCTCTACAAAATGATGAATAGCGAGTGATTACAAATACATATATATATGTGTCTTGAATTATGTCTTAATTTGAATAAATCTTATGTCGCTTTGATATATTTTAAATCATCGATTTTTGTACGCGTGTGCTGGTAGCATCGCTTATCGATGAATTATAATAAAGAAGATTGAGAGACGAGGAGTGACACGAAATTACAGATTGTTTAAATATTCCAAAGGAAATTGTCCTGTCTTTGCTGTCTTTACAGTTTGGTTTTCTCGAGAAAATTAGAAATTTACTGCGTAACTGAAGAATGCAACAAATAGTGTGCCAAGGAGTCGATATAATTGAGAGCGCGATAATTTCTGGTTGGAAACTCTATTTATTACCTTAGAAAATTAGATTGTGCCTGTATGGAGTAAATACTCAATTTCTCTGCGCGAACGTTCGTCATTTTGAGGAAATAGATTACGGACATAAATCTCGAAATATAATTTCGGTCAATCGGAAGCGATTTGTTACTAATCATCGTTCATCATCATCTTTTTTGTCTTGATAGTTCGTTCGAATTTACGTCCTCTGCATCTTTCGCGCCGTCTTTATGAAAGTTTAACGAAGCGTTTTGCTATTTCGATACGAGTATCGTGTATGATGTCCTCGACGGAAATCTCGTGCGAATTATATTCGTTTGTATTGCAAGAGTCGTTCTGTGGAGACTTATGTAATGATTTATGCATCCTGTTACGATGAAAAAATGCACGATTATATCAAAATTGGCATCGTGTGAAAATGACAGTTTCCTTAGAATTTAGGAAACTTTCAATTTTCCGCTGATTTTCCACTACTCTTAATAAATCTTTAATAGACTTACATATAGCCCATACTATAAGTTTTGCCTTATAAAGTGTACGATTTCCTACACGAACGGCGAATAGATAAATATCGAGGATGATTCATAGCGATCAAGGCAATGTTAACGCATTTAGAAAATGTATGCGCTAGATATATTTAATATTTCGTAATGTAGTTTACTTATTTATTATATTATAGACTGGCCAACTTTATTATGTGTGTGTACAGCTTGACAAATTATTTTATAAATGTATTCGCAAAAAAATGATTAGCTCTTCCTCCATTATGCTTGTATGTATACATACAGTAGCAACTGTGGCATTCATTGTTATAGTGAGAGTGCAGAGAAAGTCGGTATTTTGGCATCAAAGAGTAAAGGCATAATAATATGACAGACTTGCGATGAGATTAATCACGAAAAGAAAATTAGTTCAATCAAAAGCTAATAAACTAATGAGCGTGAAGATACGGTGCTGAACGTGACGGGGCAAGTGATCAAGTGTAATAATTATATCGCGTAAATATGGCATATCAGATAATCAAACATAAAGGGTATTGAGATCGAGCTTGGCAAAGAAATGAACGTAAAAAAATTTGCAGAGGATCCTCTGGTAAAGAATGTATTTCAAAGTTTTAAATTATTGTACTCGCAAGAGATTGTTCCTTTATTGTTCTGAAAGTATTAGAAATTTCTGAATTATTTTCTTTCGAGAATGTGCGTTAATCGAGTTAGAAAAACACGAAGTAAACGACTAAATGATTAAAATTATTTAAAACGAGAGTGCATAAAAAAAAAAACAATTTATAAAATAACATTTATATAAATTAACAAATAAATTTTGTCACTAACAAAAAATTTAAAAGAAAGGGTAAGCTGTCAGGAGAAGACTATGTCACAGAAGAAGATTTGATAGAACGATTGATTCATCATTAAATTGTTTCAGACTGATGACAACCGAACTCGTACGGGTCTACATGATTGTTCCGGTTTCAATCAAAAGCAAAAGTGTCATGAAGAGTGAAGATGTATCAGCAAGAGTGAAATGTCGGAAAGAGGAGCAAACGAACGAAAGTGTGTCGTATATCAACTTATTCTAGAGGGGAGCATAGAGTTCTTTGAACATCGCGAAGAGTCCGAAGTGTTCGTTGCCACACAGTGGGGGCAGCTACATAAGTACAACACGGCCTTAAGAAAAGCTTTCATTCTGATAGCAGATCGCAATCCACGGAACCGGTGAATTTGTGCGATACGACTTCTATACGTTCAGCTGTTCGCGGACGGAGAAGTGTAGGAGAGAAAAACAGAATATCTTCCTAAAGTATCGGATGCTCGAATGCATTTTGGGAAAAGAGATATATTCACGAAGGAAAAGAAGAGACGTTTGTGACATCATTCATCCTCGCGTTGCCCTGCACCGTATTTCTACTTGCGAGATTCGGATAACGTGGTGAGTAAATTGGGCGTTTCTTTCACAACTTTTTGTACGAATCAAACAATTGCTCTGAAACGCGCGATTATATATATATATAATTGTGAGTAATTGCAAATAATTGCACAGAAATTCTAAGAAATTATGATTCCGTAAACCTCGATCCAGAAACGCAACATAAATATATATATATATATATATATATGACGTAAAAAAGTATATATATATAC